AAAGAAAACACAAGTAAACAGATCATGCAAATTTAAAATAAAGTTTTTATTATTAAGTGAAAACAGAATACAAAACTACATACTCCATGTGAAAAAGTGTTTGCCCCCTATCCTAATAACTGGTTGGGCCACACTTTGCAGAAACAACTGCAATCAATCTTTTTCCATAACTTGCAATACATTTGTTAAAGATCTGTCAGGGAATTTTGGCCCACTCATTTTTGCAGAATGTGAATAATTCAGCCATATTGGAGTGTTTTTTTAAGTTTATGCCACATCATCTCAATTGGATTCAGGTCAGGACTTTGACTAGGCCACTACCAAAGTTTTCTTTTTTTTTTCTTCAGCCATTCAAAAGTGCTGAACCACAGATGTCAAAGAACCCTAAGAATGTGTAAGTGTTAGAGAGCCATAAAATATTATTATTATTAATATTATTATCATCATCATTATTATTATTGCAAATGATTATGAAACACCCTTTTTGTCCACGTTTTGAAACAATGCATTTAATAAGCTTTCTATGCACATAAAATCACTTGTAAATTAAATTTGAAGGTTCAGAAAGAAAAATTAGACATGTCTCACATTTTTTCAAACAGTACATGCCATTTTTAAGATGATTGTTTATAATAAATAACAACAAAATAATAAGAACTATTTTACGCCTCTGGAGGTCTAACTTGAATATTTAGTATAAAATATTTGCCTTTTTTGAAGCTGAAGTTATGCTGTGTGTTTGTGTGTGTCATTTCTCACTCATTATGGGTCTGAATGTCTTTTGTTTTTCTCTCATAGCCAAACAATAATGATCCGCAGATGAATGTTGTTCATCGAGGGACTAGTTACGCATTGGGGAATGTTGTCTGTGTGGGTTTTATGCGATTACAGACCACTGCTCGTGTTTGTTCGTCTGTGTCTGCTTTTGGGAAACAAAGGAACGAGACTTGATGATGCTATGCTGGAATGTTGTTTATGTGCTGCTATGCGGTTGCTAGGTGGCTGTTTAATTGACCAATTCAAAAGTATCAATCATATCAAGATTCATTTATATGATAATGTGGTAATAGTTTTTTTATGTTATTGTTTTTGAGCTACAGTGAAGTACACAAACACTGTAACATACAGAAGTTGTTGGTCAGTGGGAAAATGACAGCTATAGAAATATGCTATATATAATATTATATATATAATATATAAATATTTAATCATTTTAAGTAAGTTATAATACAATTAATAGACAATTAACACACACACACTCATACACTACGACCAATTTTGCATATCTAATTTACTTATAGCGCATGTGTTTGGACTGGGGGGAAACCGAGCACCAGGAGGAAGGTGATTGAAAGAAGTCCGCTTCCGTTTGTTTTTAAGGCCTGATGCCACCAAATCAACCAATAGAAAACTGAAAAGGGGAAACACAGGGAGAAACACTCGTAAACACACACACACTCATACACTACGGCCAATTCAGTTTATTTAATTCACCTATGGCGCATGTCTTTGGACTGTGGGGGAAACTGGAGCACCCGGTGGAAACCCAAACGAACACAAGGAGAACATGCCAACTCCAAGCAAAAATGACAGCTGGCCCAGCCGGGACTCAAACCAGTGACCTTCTTGCTGTGAGGCAACAGTGCTAACCACTGAGCCACCATTGTACCCCTTTGACTGAATTAATTCCACTAGAATTTTGTAAGCGAAGTTGTAAAGTGAAGCTAAACAAACCGCCGAATATTATTGGTGGTATTCTTCAACAAGTATAATATTTTGGGAACTGACTTTGTAAGGTAAATGTTAATTATTGAATTTCCCGTGATGAAACAGTACAAGAAATGTTTTCATTTGAAACATTCAGTTTATTTATGCAGTCTTGTTGAATTACGAAGCGCAAAAAAGCTAGGTATGAAAATGCAATACACTGTTAAAGAATTTTTTGTCATTATTTTACTTTCATATTAACTATAATAACACTAATATTAACTAAAGTACACTGTAAAAATATCTGTTAATTAACAGTTTCTGTATTTTGTGTGTTTTTATTACAATATTACATTAAATATCAAAATTATATATATTCAGTTACAAATCCTACTTGGCAAATAAGTCAGAGAGCTCTTTTTTAAAGTCTAAAGCACATGGCGCAAAAGCATTAAGTGCATGTCTGAATTCACTTTTGCTGTTTTAATGATGGAAAAATATGCTCTGTGCCCTGACACATGGTCTAACAGGGTCGAGCTGATTGTTTTAGCATAACATGCATTAAAACAATCAGAGTCTTGTCTCCCATTCCCTTTAAGAGTCAGTTGCATCACGCCATGGTGCATTTGCTATTTACATGGTGGACTTTGTGAGTGGATAAACTGAACACTTCACTAGTGAGAAAACTGTTGAACAGACCATCTGGAGCGCGAGGATAAAGAATAAGCCTCCTCCATTTGCCCTCTTTGCTTTCTCTTTACTTTACTTTTACTCTTTACTCCTTTACTTTCATGGATAAGGAAACTGTGGAAAGACATCCATTAGCCAACATATTTAATTTTGTTTGTTAAGAACAAAATTTTATTTCAAAATTATTTTAAAATTCTAATTTCCAGCAAATTAATCAATGAACAAGGATAATAAAGTGTGGTCAAAAAACTTGAGTTATATCCAAACACGCATCCTATTCTTATGCCCCATATGGTGATGCAGACGTCTCCAAAACCTGACAGGTGAACAAATCTAAACTTGTTTTTATTTAAAAAAATACAAATATGCATGTAATAAATAATACTCCTAATAATAATAATATTATACTAATGCAAATTGTCATTATAAAGTGAAAAAAGCCCCCCGGTCATGAGGAAGGCATGGAGGTAGTGGTTTTTATATTTATGTAGTAAATAACATTTTTTGTAACATTTTAATCTTCAAATTTTTGTCATTTGTAAAGATATTTGTGTATTGCTGTACATCCTGTATGTATTAAGCAATGTGTACGCGTATGGACCAGCATAGGCACAAAACTAATGCTCTCTACGCTGGACTTTAGAGCAGCTTTCAGTTGGTCAATGATGCAGTCAATTTCAGTTCCTCAAAATAGTAATCCGTCAACAATACGCCTTAACACGCTTCCTTTCTAGACCAGCACACCCATGACTCCACAAAGTAGCCCAAATGGTTTTGCTATTTAAATAACGTGGCGCAAAATGTGAAAATAAGGGTCTGAAAGGGGTCTGACAGTCTTACGCCAGATGTACGATAGGGCCCAGAGTCTGAAAGTATTATTTTGACCATTTTGGCTCCAAAATACAACATTCAAACGTTATGGGATTCATCAACAGCTTTAAATATGATATGCAGCTCATGTTCATTTGTCATTTTTTTCTCTGTTTTAATCAGGATCACTGGTTTTGGAGGGTGAGAGATAACGCCGTGATGCCCGGCTACCCGATGCTCATCAATGTCTTCTGGAGGGGTTTGCCGCCCAAGATTGATGCCGTCTATGAAAACAGCAAGGGAAAATTTGTGTTCTTTAAAGGTAAGACTTCTGCACGTCAGATCAGTTTATTTAGAAGCGTTGACCAATGAGGGCACCTGTTCCAGGAGGGCCGCTGCTCTGCACAGTTTAGTTCCAACCCTGGGTGAACACACTTACCTGTAAGTTTCAAACTAAACTAAAGGACCCAATTAGTTTGATTAGGTGTGTTTTATTAGGGTTGAAACTAAACTGTGCAGAGCTGTGACCCATCAGGAACTGGATTTGACACCTGTGCCCTAGAGAAGTGTCAGCACAAAATACCAAACAAATGATGTTTTATAACTCTTTGAAACTTTGCCCCTTTTAGGCATTGATCCAAATTGGGGTGTCCGTCACTTTAAATTCAAATGAGACTGTGGCTACAGCTCTCTTTTGAAAAAAGGGCGGAGCTACAAATGCATTTGCTTCAAAAACAGAACTAACGTAATCTTTGGCATTAAAACTTGAATGGCAGATGGCTGCTTGTCACTCAGGGCTTTCTATGTTACTGAGGGAGAGATCAACACTAATGGGTGGGACTTTCCCCCCTCTGATGTCATACAAAGGGAAAACGTCATTCAAAGTGTTTCTGCAGACTGTTTTTAATAAGTGTGATTATAACAAATAGAATTAATACATGTTTACCATTAAAGGCTGGCTATATTCACACACTGCTGCCACACAACTGTTTTAAACCCCTTATTTTTGCATGATAGATACCCCATTAACCTGATTTCTGCAGTGAAGTAGAAACAGCACAGATCTCAGTATAATCATGTAGAAAATATCAGGCCTGAATATCCAGAGCTCTATTATTCCCATGAGGAGAGAAACACAGTGTGCGCGATAGAGATGAAAATAACTAAAGCGGAAAAGCAGAAAAAGCCAAATGAGATAATGACAAACTCACACAAATGCACACACACTCACACACCTAAACAAATCCAGGCGTTTTTGTTCCTCGACATCCAGACAAATGGTCTTTCGTGTTCGGAGAGCTTAATGAAGGTTTTTAGCCACTGCTGACTGTCATCTTCATTATTTATTAGCCTGCACACCTCAGTTCTCCACTATCAGATCTCACACACACACACACACACACACACACTCGATTATCAATGCGTCCAGCATTTACCAGCTGATTCAGTCTATTTGTTTTGCGATTGTGCACACTCTAGGGGTGCCCTAGATTTCATCCTTAAACTTCTAAAGTTTCAGAGATAAAAAAATAAATGCAAAATTGCCCTGGGATGTTTAACTCAGCAGGTTGCCAAAAACTGTACTGTACTATTTATAATATAATCATTTAATAATTAGCTAATAAAATAACGTACTATTTAACTACAATTGCTGTAAATAATATTTAATAATAATTTTAATAACAATAATAATCATGTAAACCAGTAAAGTATTATGTATTATGAACATATTGAACTACATTGCTGCAAATAATAATAATAATAATAATAATAATAATTATTATTATTATTATTATTATTATTATTATTATTAGCACAATGGCACAGTGGGTCGCACGATCGCCTCACAGCAAGTTTGCATGTTCTCCCAGTGTTCGCGTGGGTTTCCTCTGGGTGCTCCAGTTTCCCCCACAGTCCAAAGACACATGCTATAGGTCAAATGGGTAAGCTAAATTGTCCGTAGTGTATGTATGTGAATGAGTGTGTATGGGTGTTTCCTAGTGATGGGTTGCAGCTGGAAGGGCATCCGTTGCGTAAAACATATGCTGGATAAGTTCCCGGTTCATTCCGCTGTAGCGACTCCAGATTAATAAAGGGACTAAGCCGAAAAGAAAATGAATGAATGAATAATAATTATTCTTAGTATTATTATTATTATTATATTATACAGTATTATTATACAGTGATTAATTGATATCATTTTTTTATTTTCATACATTATAATAACAATGAGTTAAAATAAATTACAAAAAATGGCACAAACTAACAGTAATGGAATACCTCTCAAACTTAATTTTTTAATGAAAAGAACATTGTGTGTATTAAAATAAATATTAGAAAAATACATATAAATCAAATCAAATTGAATACAGTAGTAAAAACAGTACTACAGCAGATATAGTTTTATTTCATTTAAAATATTTTATTAAAAATTATACGTCAATGAAAAATAATAAATACCAGGATTTTTTACTATGTTTATTATTATGTTACTAATATGAATAATTGATTACATCAAATATAACATTTACATAGACAGAGTGACTCAGTGATTAGCACTGTCACTTCACAGCAAGAAGGTCGCAGGTTCGAGTCCCCTCTGGGTCAGTGGCGTTTCTGTGTGTAGTTTGCATGTTCTCCCTGTGTTCGGGTGGGTTTTCTCCGGGTTCTCCAGTTTCCCTCACAGTCAAAAAACATATTCTATTGGGGAATTGAATAAAACTAAATCGGCCGTAGTGTGTGTCTGGGAATTAGGGTGTATGGAAGTTTCCCAGTACTGGGTCCAGCTGGAAGGGCATCTGCTGTATAAAACACATACTGATGAATGAATAATATTTACAAAAAATTAGTCACAAACTAACATAACTCTCTCCTTCAAACTATATTTTATTGTAAAAAGTATTGTGTGTGTGTGTGTGTGTGTGTGTGTGTGGTCCATGTGGAAGCAAATAAACCGATTTCTTCACATTCAGCAAGCGTCCCAGAGCGAGGATCACTAACACTGACCCCTCAACATTAAACTAGGTCAATTACCATGGTCAGATCTGGACGTTAAAGCCAACATGTACAACAAAAGCATCCTGCAGTTTCACTTTTACAAACATTCTCGCATAATCGCTGACAAAACACAGACACAACTCCGCAAGCGCGCACACACATTAGCAACCGGTCGGGCACAGAGACTGTGACCCCGCTGAGGCCATGAGAAAGAGTAAGGTGACGTGACAGGCATTTCCTATGACGGACCTGTTCTCCTCTGACCCCTCGCACTCCAAACAAATCATGACACTCTTTAACCCATACACACATGCTTTCCTGAGCTCCTCCACCACTCATATCTGACAGTCTTGACCCTTCACAGGACACCTGAAAATGCTAATAATAAACAAAGAGGCTGATTTATTTATTTATTTTCCCGATTAAAGATTAAAGTAGATTCTAATTTGAAACTGTGGTCCTTGGTGGTCGATTAAATGCTTTCCTGAACTCCACAACTCGCATCTGACAGTCTTAAAGGGAGGCGAAGAGATAATAATTATTTTTTTTTTGTCTTAAAGGGATAGTACACCTAAAAATACTACTAATAAAAAAGAGGCTAATTTATTTATTTATTTTCATGATTCAAGATTAAAATTGAATTTATTTTGCAACTATGGTCCTGGGTGGTCTATTAAATGCTTTCCTGAGCTTCTTAAAGGGACAGTACACCCGAAAATGCTATTAATAAACAAAGAGGTGAAGTATTTTTTTTTCCTTGTTCAAAATTAAAGTACATTTTAATTTGAAACTATGGTCTTTGGTGGTCTATAAAATGCTTTCCTGAGCTCCTCCACAACTCATATCTGACAGTCTTAAAGGGACAGTACACCTGAAAATGCTAATAATAAACAAGGAGGTGATTTTTTTTTTTCTTAAGTTCAAGATTAAAATAAAATTTATTTTGAAATTTTGGTCCTTGGTGGTCCATTAAACGCTTTCCTGAGCTCCTCCACAACTTATATTTTACAGTCTTAAAGGGACCGTCCACCTGAAAATGCTATTAATAAACAAAGAAGTTAATTTTTTTTTTCTTTGGTTCAAGATTACAGTAGATTTTAATTTGAAACTTTGGTCCTTGGTGATCCATTAAATGCTATTCTAGCCATGCTCCTCCAAAACTCACATATGACAGTCTTAAAGGGACAGTACATGTAATAATGCTCATAATAATCAAAGAGGTGAAGTATTATTATTTATTTTCCACAATTCAAGATTAAAGTAGATTTTTTTTTTTTTTTTTGAATCTGTGGTCTATAAAATGCTTTCCTGAGCTCCTCCACAACTCTAAAAATGCCAGTGATAAACAGAAGGTGAATTTTTGGTGATGTTCAAGATTGAAATTGATTTTATTATGAAACTATGGTCTTTGGTGGATCATTAAATGCTTTCCTGAGGTCCTCCACAGCTTATATTTTACAGTCTTAAAGGGACAGTACACCTGAAAATGCTAAAATCAAACCAATTAAATGATTATTTTTTGGTTTAAGATTAAAGTAGATTTTAATCTGAAACTATGGTATTTGGGGGTCTATAAAATGCTTATACATCTGACAGTCTTAAAGGGACAGTACACCTGAAACTAGCCACTTTGTGAGCAAAAAAAAAAAAAAAAAACATATGCAGACAATACTAAATGCTATGCAAACCTCTTCTAATACACAAGATGTGTCTAAAATGACCTGTACTGAAAAATGGCTCATCTATGGAAAAAAAATTATTAAAGCAGTTTTACATTAACTTTTACCAATTGAAACATGGTTATTTGCCACTAAGGAATACCTCAAATGTATTTATTTTAATATTATATTTTTTTAATAATATATATATATATATATATATATATATATATATATATATATATATATATATATATATATATATATATATATATATATATATATATATATATATATATATATATATATATATATATATATATATATATATATATATATATATATATATATATATATATATATATATATATATATATATATATATATATATATATATATATATATATATATATATATATATATATATATATATATATATATATATATATATATATATATATATATATATATATATATATATATATATATATATATATATATATATATATATATATATATATATATATATATATATATATATATATATATATATATATATATATATATATATATATATATATATATATATATATATATATATATATATATATATATATATATATATATATATATA